CCCATACTGCTGATTGGCTACAAGTTCGTTTTGCTAGTCGGCCCGAATCAGTTTTCTAAAGCGTTTTTAAAAAATTGCTTACCCCACCTTTAAATTGGATGAACTAACAAAGAAAATGTTATTAATTAGACTAATAATTCTACTCAGGGAATCACAATTAAGCCATAGATAATGGAAAAAAGGTCCCATGTAATATCCTGACTACATTAATTACTAATTAGCCCATGCAAAATATTTTTGAATCTATCACACATTGTAATAGTTTGCAAAATCTGCTTTTTTTAATATTATGTAGCTGGAAATATCTCAACCAATTAATGCTGAACTTATAGCAATATAACAAAAGCAATATAATGCTGGACATACAGTTGCCCCTTTACAACAACAGCTTGCTGTACATGTTAGCTTTGGCAAGCCTGATGTTTCACAGAACATCTAATAATTTGAAAGCATGCTTTCTGACAGGTCATTGTGTAGGACAGAGAGGTGAGTTTCTCTGGAGCATGTGGCCGCTCACAGCGACTCCTAGTAAAGTAATGACACTGTATTTATTCATTTATATATAGTATATTCATAGTCAAAATCTGTCAGTAGGTTATCTGTGTATAGGTACAGTGTTTATGTGAAGCATCCGTATAGTCAGTATTTTTTTTTAAACTTATGTATAGGTAAACATTTATATATGTATATATAGTATATTTATAATCAAAATCAGTCAGTAGGTTAGTTGTGTATAGGTTTTTACTGCTTTACTGTATAGGTTTTTACTGTTTTACTTCATTGTTGTATGCCTGTATTTATGTAACACCGTGGTCCTGTGAGGCACGACATTTCGTTCCACTGTATGTCCCCACATGCAGCAGAATGACAATAAAGCTCAACTTGAACTTGAACTTGTCAGGTGCTCTGTCTCTGTGTGACAGCAAGGTAATGTTAAAAGAACATGCGGAGTCATCCATAAGTTACTTATAAGATGATGGCATGTTAATTAATCTCGCCCAATTTCCTGTCTTTTTTTTTTTTTTTGCTCCAATATGAGAATTTTGTTTACAAAACTGATGTCCTTTTATAATGTATAGATCTAGGTAAGGACTACCATTTTACAGTTGTGTATTGTTTGGTGCTTTTAAATGAATGGCAAACTATGACAATACTTGAAGTAATCATGTCATGGTCATTACATAGTTGCATTTGTTGATTGCTGTACTGCACTATATATGTAGAGCTTTTAGTTTTATAGCAAATTTATACACGCATGCAAATCATACAATATATTTTATTCACAATCTTTTGATGACACTGCACATACCAGACAGTGATAATATTTTTAAATGAAGACATTTCTGTAAAACGGTACAGAATTGTGGCTTGAATGGGACATTTTATGTATGAAGAATGAGAAATTATTAAAGAAATGTCATCTGAACTGTATTTCCGGGCTAATGGCGGGTGCTCTTAACAGCCTCTTCTGATCAGCCATGTGTCATTGTGAAGGTAGGCACATATGGAATGGAATGATGTCACATGATTTTCTACTTTCACGACCAGTTAATCGTTCAATAAATATACTACAATCATCAGTGTTACACTGTAAGATTTTTTTTCTAAATCGCTGTGATTTTTCTAAAAACTAATTTGTGTGTAGAGGATGTGTTCACATGCATCGTTCAGTAATTTCGCTAGACGTTCGGTTGTTTTTGTCCTTCACTCTGACGTGGATGAGCTGTCACACACTTGAGGGTCAAACTTTTTGTGACCTCAGTCTCATTACGTTGTGACTTCAAAATGAGGTACATCTGAAAGTGCAGTCTATGCCACCGGCGTTAATCAGCATAGACCATGAAGCCTGAAAACGTGCTGTATTTGTTGTTGTTTCCCCCGTGTGCTTTGCCTCCATCCAGTTTAATGTAGATCTCATCTCCAGGCTCCAGGTGTAAAATCACACTGTTGCTGGCATAGTCATAGTTCTGATCTGCATCCTGCGCTATTGCACTTGCACGCACCTGCAAGAAAATAATTATGACGCATGTTATATAAATACCTTATTAATCCCATGAAGTAATTTCACATTAAGTTATTAATTGCAACACCTTAAAACAAAATTCTCCCTATGGAAGTTCAGCATTATTTTCTTAAGACAATATTTAGATTTTTTTTCCACTGAAGTGGGTGTGTTTTTAAAATAAAATGTTGCTGATTTCTAAAAGTTGTTATCCGATATTAACCTAAAGAGGACATGCTAGCTTTTTATGCAATATCAGAATATTATAATATGTGATATAGAACTTTTATAATAATGAAAAATAATGTAATTATGATAATACAATAAAAACAAAGTGTAAGTTAAAAATATAAATGATAACATTCAAATTTTATTAAAACGTGTAATATATAACATAAATCAATCAGTCTAGTTGGTGCATCAAAAACATTAATCTTTAAAAAAAATATTTGTCAGATAAACATTTTATATTCAAGTATTGACTATTAGAAAATATTTTAAGAAACGTTAAATAAGAATAATTTCTTATTTTAGAAATATTAAAAAATATAAGAAAATATATCAATTGATGCATAGATTGATTCGTTGATTGATGAAGAAATAAATTAATTGTGACAGCTGGCTTTATGACCTACCTGGTTATTTTTGCACAGATCAGCCCACATGCTGGTCCCGTCACCACCTCTCATTAATACGTGATACACGAAAAGGTAGATCCCCGGGATGGAGCAGGTGAATTTACCGCTCGAGGGGTCATAGTGATTGCCCAAGTTAGTGACCACATCATCAAACTTCAGCACCTCGTAACCCTCGTGTTGCTTCTTGAGTCCCGCGTAGAATGCGATTTTGGGAACGGTGCTGTACGTCGCCGTGCTTATGACACCGGTGACTCCGGGCGGACCGGGTAATCCTGGTGGCCCCGGTTCTCCTATGACCCCGGGGGGACCTGGAGGTCCGGGTGGACCCGGCTGGCCCCTCGGACCGATCCGTCCTAAGCGCCCTGGCTCTCCTTTCGGACCGCGAATGAAAGTTGGTGGGGACTGAACCAAGCGGTTGTCTGTCGGTGCTGATGATGGAGACTTCGTTCCGTGCGGATCGCACACCATGCGGCACGCACCGAGCATCTCGTAGCGCGGGTCGGATCCTGCCGCGCTGACCAGCACCGGGATGAGAATGACCAGCACCAGCACCATGACAACACCCAGCACGCCCGTGGCGATCACCCGCGCTCTGACGCCCAGTCTCGACAGCACCGGGCGCTCCTCGCGCTGCGATTTACGCGCAATTTTGCTCGGCGCAGAAGAGACGCCAAAAACAAAAACTTCCCTGTAGCTGTAGAGAAAGTCAATTAACTTTGCAATGAAGACGTTATATCATTCCCTGAGCTGATGTAGATGTCATCTGAACAAAGTGTTTGTTTGTTTATATAGAAAGCGAAGTTAAAGATTGGAAACAGAAACAGAAATGTGTGAGAGATGCATTACAGCCCTGCTTTCTCACCTGATGGTGAGTGCTGGGTGGGTATGTCGTGAGAAAGACAAAGAGAGAGAGTGCGCGCACGTGAGCTGTATCTTTAGAAAGATGCAAAGTGACTACATTTTTGTTAGCTTATTTTGTAGCTTTTTGAGAGAGAAATGTGAACTCATGATAAGGGCATTTTTATTAAATGTCAATTCAGAGTGTCACATGTGTTTGTGACAAACTTATAATTTATTACATTTTTACAGTTTTATAAATAATAGTTGGTGTGTATGCATGTACTACAGTGTGGGGTCAGTTTTAAGAATTTATACTTTTATTCAGCATTCGGGATGCATTAAATTGATAAAGTCACGGTAAAAAAATACTATGTTAAAAGAAAGATATCTGTTTTAAATAAATGTTATTTTGAACTTTGTATTACCCAAATAATCCCCAAAACTATATCACGGTATTCATAATATTATTATACAGTAACTGTTTTCAACATTCAGAATAAGAAATGTTTCTTGAGCACCAAATAAGCATATTATTATGATTTCTGAAGGATCATGTGACGCTGAAGACTGGAGTAATGGCTTTCCATCACATTAATATATTACATTTTAAAATTTATTCAAATAGAAAACAGTTATTTTAAATGGTAATAATGTTTCACAATATTAGTGTTTTACTGTATTTTAGATCAAATAAATTCAGCGTTGATGAGCTTAAGAGCATACAACTATTACAAAAAGTGCAAATATTCATTGATGCCCAAGAAAGCAACCCAGTACATTAAGTGCCAAAACTGTAATCGGTGTAAATTGTTATTCTGCTCATCCTACAGAAATAGTCTCTCTTTACCCATAAATCAGCTAGAGAAATATAATCAATTGCACCAATTCAGGGTGATAAAGCACCTCAAAAAGTTCCACACATTGTCATCTTAGACACTAATATCAATATGACTCAAAATTAAGTTCTCAGCGGCTCATCAAACTGAAGGACATCAGTGAGGCTGTTTGCATAAACAGTCACTATATTAAAGGGATAGTTCACCCAAAAATTATGTCATCGTTTACTCACCCTCCACTTGTTTCAAACCTCTTTCTTCTGCTGAACACAAAAGAAGATATTTTGAAGAATGTTGACCAAGTATGGCGGTCATGGCTTCTCCCACATCCTGAAGAATATTGTTCCCAAAATGCTGTCTCGAGGTATCACTCAGAACCAGGTGGACAAAATACTGATAGAGAATCCTAAACAATGGCTGACATTTAAATAAACCAACCGCCTTAAAAATCAATTTCCTTCCTCAAGTTAACATACCAAAAATTGATTTCTAATTTTTATTGTTAGGAACTTTGTTGTACTGTTGATTTTGATGCTAAAATCCTTACTTTGGTGAGCGTTAATTCATGTGCACTGTTAAAAATAAAGGTTTCAAGAGAGGGTTTTATAGAAACACAATAGAAGAGCCATTCTGGGTTCCCCAAAGAACCTTTCAATGAACAGTTTTTAAAAGAAACATTTTTTTTAGTGTGAAGAATATTTTAATAATCGTGCAGTGGAATGGTTTCTTCATGGAACGATTGATGCCAAGAAAAAACCTTTATGTAAGATGGCAAAGTTGAGACCCATAGCTCACATGTTAAGTTTAACACTAACTAGAATATTCATATCAAATATTCACCAGTCTTCAATGATCAAAGTTCTCTCACCACAAAAAAGTGGGTAAAATAAAAGCATGGCTCTGAGTTGTGGAAAATAGGTGCTTTTTACTTAAGTTGACAAAGAAAATATGATTAATTAGACTAATAATGCAGCTCAGGGGATCACAACTAAGCAATAGATAATGGAAACAAGTGGAACAGTACTAGTGTATTACAAGGTCTGATGAAATATCCTGACTACATTACTTACTAATTAGCTCGTGCAAAATATCTATTAATCAATCACACATTCTAATAGTTTGCAAAATTTTCTTTCTGATATTGTGTAGCTGCAAACATCTCAACCAGTTAATAATGTTGAACATACTTGACAACGACTGACTATTAGAACTAAGGTGATTGAATGTGACCGTATGCCTAAAGTAAGACTGCTTGCTGTACACGTTTGTTCTTTGGCAAGCCTGATGTTTCACAGCGCATCTGATCATTTGAAGGCATGCGTTCTGGCAGGTCATTGTGTAGGACAGAGAGATGAGTTTCTCTGGAGCAGGTGGCTGCTCACACTAGTAAAATAATGACACTGTCAGGTGCTCTGTTCCCGTGTAACAGCAAGGTAATATTACAAAACATGCCGAGTCATCCGTAAGTTACTTTTAAGAAGATGGCATGGTAATTAATCTTGCCCATTTCCTTTCATTTTTACTTTTTTTTTTTTTTTGCTCCAGCATGAAAAACTGATTTGCTTTTTGAATGTATAGATATAGATATAGGACTACCATTTTACAGTTGTATATTTCGTTTAGTGCTTTTAAAGGAATAGCAAAATATTATAAACGATGACAATACTTGAAGTAATCAAGTCAAGGATATTTCATAGTTGCATTTGTTGACTATGTAGAGCTTTTAGTTTTATAGCAAATTTATACACGCATGCAAATCATACAATATATTTTATTCACACTTTTTTGAAGACACTGCACATACCAGACAGTGATAATATTTTTAAATGACAACATTTATATAAAACGGAACAGAACTGTGGCTTGAATGTGACAATTTGTGTATGAAGAATGAGAAATTATTGAAGAAATGTAATCTGAACTATATTTCCGGGCTAATGGCATGTGCTCTGTAACAGCCTCTTCTGATCAAAGGTAGGCACATATGGAATGGAATTATGTCAAATGATTTTCTGCTTTCACGGCCAGTTAATCTCAATAAATATACTGCAATCATCAGTGTTATGCTGTAAGATTTTTTTTTCGAAATCACAGTGATTTTTCTAAAAACTAATTTGTGTGTAGAGGATGTGTTCTCATGCTTCGATATGTATGATCATTCAGTAATTCCTCTGGACGTTCAGTTGTTTTGTCCTTCGCGCTGACATGGATGAGTTGTCACAAGCTTGAGGGTTAAACTTTTTTGTGACCTCTGATGACGTTGTGATGTCAAAATGAGGTACATCTGAAAGTGCAGTCCATGCCACGGCTGTTAATCGGCGTAGACCATGAAGCCTGAAAATGTGCTGTATTTGTTGTTGTTTCCCCCGTGCGCTTTGCCTCCATCTAGTTTAATGTAGATCTCATCTCCAGGCTCCAGGTGTAAAATCACACTGTTGCTGGCGTAGTCATAGTTCTGATCTGCATCCTGCGCTATTGCACTTGCACGCAACTACAAGAAAAAGATTAGAACTTGTGTTAGATACAATTAATACTATATTAATCCCATTAAATAATTGCACATTAAGTTATGACTCCATATTAATTACAACACCTTAAAATTGTCCCTATGGAAGTTAGCATTATTTTCTGAAGACAAGGCAACATTTTGTTGTTGTTTTTTTTCCATTAACGTGGGCATTTTTTAAAATAAAATATTTCTGATTTCTGAAGTGCTATTGTCCTAAAGAGGACATGCTGGTTTTTTGCAATATCAGAATATTATATATGATACAGAACTTGTATAATAACAAAACATAATGTAATTATGATAATTATAATAATAGTTAAATATTGAATAAATATAAATGATAATATTCTAATTTTATGAAAATGTGTAATATTCCTATATTCAATCAGTCTAGTTGGTGCGTATAACTAGACTGGCATAATAAAAACATTAGACATAGACATACTAAAACACATTAACTTTTTAAAAATATTTTTCATTATATACAAGTATTGATTATTAGAAAATATTTAAAGAAATGTTTTATTTAAAAAAAATAATTTCTTCATTTAGAAGTAGCCTATTTAAAAATATAAGAAAAAAAAAGATTTCTTATGCATCAGTTGATGCATAGATTGATTTGTTGATTGATGAATATATAAATTGTGACAGCTGGATTTATGAGCTACCTGGTTATTCTTGCACAGATCAGCCCACATGCTAGTCCCGTCACCACCTCTCATTAATACGTGATACACGAAAAGGTAGATCCCCGGGATGGAGCAGGTGAATTTACCGCTCGAGGGGTCATAGTGATTGCCCAAGTTAGTGACCACATCATCAAACTTCAGCACCTCGTAACCCTCGTGTTGCTTCTTGAGTCCCGCGTAGAATGCGATTTTGGGAACGGTGCTGTACGTCGCCGTGCTTATGACACCGGTGACTCCGGGCGGACCGGGTAATCCTGGTGGCCCCGGTTCTCCTATGACCCCGGGGGGACCTGGAGGTCCGGGTGGACCCGGCTGGCCCCTCGGACCGATCCGTCCTAAGCGCCCTGGCTCTCCTTTCGGACCGCGAATGAAAGTTGGTGGGGACTGAACCAAGCGGTTGTCTGTCGGTGCTGATGATGGAGACTTCGTTCCGTAGGGATCGCACACCATGCGGCACGCACCGAGCATCTCGTAGCGCGGGTCGGATCCCGCCGCGCTGACCAGCACCGGGATGAGAATGACCAGCACCAGCACCATGACAACACCCAGCACGCCCGTGGCGATCACCCGCGCTCTGACGCCCAGTCTCGACAGCACCGGGCGCTCCTCGCGCTGCGATTTACGCGCAATTTTGCTCGGCGCAGAAGAGACGCCAAAAACAAAAACTTCCCTGTAGCTGTAGAGAAAGTCAATTAACTTTGCAATGAAGACGTTATATCATTCCCTGAGCTGATGTAGATGTCATCTGAACAAAGTGTTTGTTTGTTTATATAGAAAGCGAAGTTAAAGATTGGAAACAGAAACAGAAATGTGTGAGAGATGCATTACAGCCCTGCTTTCTCACCTGATGGTGAGTGCTGGGTGGGTATGTCGTGAGAAAGACAAAGAGAGAGAGTGCGCGCACGTGAGCTGTATCTTTAGAAAGATGCAAAGTGACTACATTTTTGTTAGCTTATTTTGTAGCTTTTTGAGAGAGAAATGTGAACTCATGATAAGGGCATTTTTATTAAATGTCAATTCAGAGTGTCACATGTGTTTGTGACAAACTTATAATTTATTACATTTTTACAGTTTTATAAATAATAGTTGGTGTGTATGCATGTACTACAGTGTGGGGTCAGTTTTAAGAATTTATACTTTTATTCAGCATTCGGGATGCATTAAATTGATAAAGTCACGGTAAAAAAATACTATGTTAAAAGAAAGATATCTGTTTTAAATAAATGTTATTTTGAACTTTGTATTACCCAAATAATCCCCAAAACTATATCACGGTATTCATAATATTATTATACAGTAACTGTTTTCAACATTCAGAATAAGAAATGTTTCTTGAGCACCAAATAAGCATATTATTATGATTTCTGAAGGATCATGTGACGCTGAAGACTGGAGTAATGGCTTTCCATCACATTAATATATTACATTTTAAAATTTATTCAAATAGAAAACAGTTATTTTTAATGTTTCAAATGTTTCACAATATTAGTGTTTTACTGTATTTTAGATCAAATAAATTCAGCGTTGATGACATACAACTACTTTCAAAAACAAAAAAATTTTATTGATCCCCAACTTTTGAAACTTACTTCCTCAGACAGACACTCAATGCATATTTTGTTAAATTTGCCATGGTTTCCCTCAAGAATTTAAAAAATGTTTTATTATTTAGTTCCTGACAGTTTGCTACATAAGAACAACTACTACTACAAATATGTGAGTTTAAATGCTTGATGAATTGAACGACTGCTGTAAAAATTCAACATCCTTAGGTTAATGCATCATCTTCAAGTGATATTAACCACAGCCCTTATTTTATTCATAAATCAAAAAAGCCATATGAAAATCCTCAGAGGGAGCTCACGACTCAAAATGCAAATTCTCCTCCGGGTTTTAGGACTACAACCTGAACAGCTCTATGACCTTCATTCCCCTTGGCTTTCATTATACCGCTGGAATATGGCAGCTTAAGCGACACCTGCACCACTCACCGGTCTCGAGTCCCACGGAGGAGCTCCAGAAGGATAAAAGGAGGAGCTATGACAGTGAAAGAAGAGAGAGGGCCAGGCCTGGATTTTATTTTGTGTTTTGGTTCTATTTGTGCTATTTTGTGTTTATTTTATTATTAAAGTTTTCTTTGAACGTTCGCCGGCCTCCTTCTTCCCGTGACTACGAACTGTGGTACATTGGTGCCGAAACCCAGGAGGAAGGAGGGACACGCTGTCAGAGAGCCCTCGCTGCTGAGGGGGATCGCGGTGCTGAGGAGATCGGGCAGCAGGAACAAGCGGAGCTCAGTCTCGGGGGTACCCCACACTGCCTGCGAGGGGCGATGGGGGTATGTGACGAGTGGGGGCGGGGCCGAGAGCTCCAGAAGGATAAAAGGAGGAGCTACGACAGTGAAAGACGAGAGAGGGCCAGGCCTGGATTTTATTTTGTGTTTTGGTTCTGTTTGTGCACGACAGTCGTCCGCGAGGGGCTGTCGCACTATTTTGTGTTTATTTTATTATTAAAGTTTTCTTTGAACGTTCACCGGTTCCTGCCTCCTTCTTCCCGTGACTACGAACTGTGTTACAGTAACCAAACGGTTGACAGTAGCAGTTGACTTTCATGGTATTTTTGTTTTCCGTACCTTGAAAGTCAGTGGTTACCGTCAACTAAGGTTACCAACATTCTTCAAAATATCTTTTTTTTTCTCAACAGAAAACAGAAAATCACACAGGTTTGGAACAAATTGAAGGTGAGTAAATGATGGACAGAATTTTCATTTTTGGGTGATCTATCCCTTTAAGACTGTGTCTAAAGAACTAGACTGACCAACTAGCAGTTAGTCAAGGGGTAATCCGTCTTACTTTTCGGATTCAAATTAGACCATTCTATTATGTAACTGACTTTAAAAAGAAAAAAAAAAGATTTTTAAATCATTAAAAAAAAAAAAGATTATCTTGTAAGACAAATCTAAGCAGTTTATGCAACCGGCCACAGGTATTTGTGAATGAGAGGCCTGCTGATTAATGAAAATTATTACACTGAATTAAACAACACCCTCCAAGAGGAAAGCCTATGAAATTCCTTCAAAGGGTGAATTAAAATAGTATGATCTTCATTCTATCACCTTAACTTTTACCTGAGAGCTTTTATGTTACAAAGAGCATAGATGAAGACAATAAACCGTGATATTCACCAAATGTGTTCTCACACGTGACATATCTCATATAAAGAAGCATTTGCGTAAGAAGCTCACTGCTTCAGTCACACCTCCTGTACTGTATGTACACAGACAGACACAGATGCACCAGTGCACACACCCTCTCTGAGTCAATGAGCACTTGTGTCCTGTCTTGTCCTCTCCAGCTGGCTCTCTCAGTGGCTTACTCAGCGTAATTGGACCATCACTGATAATCATGAGTCACACGCCATCTTCATGTGCACAGCAGTGCTCCAATAGACAAAAAAAAAAAAAAAACTTTTTTTCCCATAATATTATGAATATTTTGCATTACCATTGTGTAATACAGTGCTGCTTGAAAGTTTGTGAACCCTTTAGAATGTTCTATATTTCTGCATAAATAACCCAAAACATCATCAGATTTTCTCACAAGTCCTGAAAGTAGACAAATAATCGAATCAAACAAAGGAGACTAAAATATATTATTTATTGAGAAAAATGATCCAGTGTTAAATATCTGTCAGTGGCAAAAATCTTTAGTAGACAAAGATAAGCCAATAAAACAAATGAGACAAAAATCTATCCTTTGTCATTTATTTATTGAGAAAAATGATCATGTTACATATCTGTGAGTGGCAAAAGTATGTGAATCTTTGCTTTCAGTATCTGGTGTGACCCCATTTTGCAGCAATAACTGCAGCTAAATGTTTCTTTGCTGATCAGTCCTGCACAACCGCTTGTTGGAATTTTAGCCCATTCCTCAGTACAATACTGCCTCAACTCTGTGATGTTGGTGGATTTCCTCCCATGAACTGCTTGCTTCAGGTCCTTCCACAACATTTCAATTGGATTGATGTCCAGACTTTGACTTGGCCGTTCCAAAACATTAACTTTGTTCTTCTTTAACCATTCTTTCTTGTGTGCTTGGGGTTGTTGTCTTGCTGCATGAACCACTTTCTCTTGAGATTCAGTTCTCGGGCAGATGTCCTATATTTTCCTTTAGAATTTGCTGGTATAATTCGGAATTCATTGTTCCATCAATGATGGCAAGCCGTCCTGGCCCAGATGCAGCAAAACAGGTCCAAACCATGATACTACCACCACCATGTTTCACAGATGGGATGAGGAGTTGGGATGCAGTGTTTTTTTTTTTTCTCCAAACATGATGCTTCTCATTTAAACCAAAAAAGTTATATTTTGGTCTCATCCATCCACAGAACATTTCTCCAATAGCCTTCTGGTTTGTCCACATGATCTTTATCAAATTGCAGACGGGCAGCAGTTTTTTTTTTTTTTTTTTTGGAGAGCAGTGGCCTTCTCCTTGCAACTCTGCTATGCACACCGTGGTTGTTCAGTGTTCTCCTTATGGTGGACTAATGAACTTTAACATTAGCCAATGTGAGAAAGGCCTTTAGTTTCTAGAAGTTAGCCTGGGGTCCTTTGCAACCTCGCAGACTACACGTCTTGCTTTTAGAGTGATCTTTGTTGGTGGACCACTCCTAGGGAGGGTAACAGTGGTCTTGAATTTCCTCTATTTGTACACAATCTGTCTGACTGTGGAATTGGAAAGTCCAAACTCTTTAGAGATGGTTTTGTAACCTTTTCCAGCCTGATGCACACAGCAACTCTTTTTCTGAGGCCCTCAGTGGTCTCCTTTGTTTGTGCCATAATTCACTTCCTCAAACATGATCAGACTTTGATAAATCCCTGTTCTTTAAATAAAATAGGGCACGCACTGACACCTGAAAGTCATCCCACCGATTAAAAAAAATGCCTCTGAACAGATGGACTCTAACTTCACCTTCAAATTAACTGCTAATCCTAGAGATTCACATACTTTTGCCACTCACAGATATGTAATATTAGATCATTTTCCAGAATAAATAAATGGCAAAGTATATATTTTCATCTCGTTTGATTGGGTTCTCTTTGTCAACCTTCAGGACATGCGTGAAAATCCATTGATCTTCTAGGTTATATTTTATGCAGAAACTTCTAAAGGGTTCACAAACTTTCAAGCAGCACTGTATATCTAAATGCATGAAGCAGCTGTTCAATAAGCAATGCTCTAACATCTTTCCATGAAAATGAACAAATTAAATTGAAAAGATTGCACAAGATTATGCTATTCAATGTGTTAATTGTTGTTTCTTTGTAATTCTTTGTAATATTTATTAGCAATTTCTAAGTGGACATACTCCAAAAGGTAGAACAATCTACATTAAAAATCACAAGAAAATAAGCTGATACTAGATTGCACCTGATTTGAGGCAATAACAGACCAATACAATCCAGGTGATGGCATGAAGTAAAAAAAAAAACGAAAAGGAAAAATCTGTTCTTACATACAGTAAATGACATAGACTGGAATATGGAATATTGTGCAATAGTCATTACATGGAAAAATGGCCTGAACATTTCGCTAGAAAGTGCCACGAAAAAAGAAAAATCACATGGGTTTATGCCTGTAAATGGGGTGTATCACTGATTCTACTATACAGATGCTTTTTTT